CATGTACAGGGAAGAGTATGTGTGATGTGTGTATAATGAGAGTGTGTGATGTGGTTTGTGTGAGAGTGAAAAGGTGTATTTGTGAGAGAGTCTGTGTGTGTATATATGAGATGAGAGAGAGAGAGAGAGAGAGAGAGAGAGAGAGAGAGAGAGAGAGAGAACGCACTGCAGAGAAGGAAAACGTGTTTTGGACAAAGCAGACCTGTGGGTTTGATGACATGTTCTTACTACATTCCAGCAAACATGTATCTGCAAAGAAAAAAGGTGATTTAGAAACAAGACCCCAGATCACCCCATCAAGCTGTCCAGACTCTTGTTGAAAGTCTCTGCTATATGATGTCAAATTTTTAATGGTTAAAGGCATTTCTAGGGGAGCTCTGGTGGTCTAGTCCATAGGGACTGTGGTTGCCAACCCAAAGGTGGCACCTCTCTAGTGGTTTGAACCCACCAGGGCTCCATGGGAGAAAGATGGGAAATCTGTGAAAGATGCAAAATCCTGCTGCAGGGTCAGCTATGAGCTGGTTCTGACTCAAGGGTCAACGGGGAAGTGAAAGGCATCTGCCGGGCATTGTCACACCCTGTTCTCAAAGCTGCTAGAACATCTGAGAATACACTTACCAGGTAAGAAAGATTCCTTGAGATATGTTATGAATTGCTATGCTAAGTAAAGCCGAACACACAAAAACAGAAGGCATCACTGGCACCTTTCCTATAGCAGGGGAGGGGCTGTTATCACTGCTGTCACTTCTCGCCAAGCAGGAGGCCCAATCTTTTGAAGAAACACTGAGTGAGAACATCATGAGACTCCTCTGAAATGGTGATTACAAGAGGAAGGAAAGCTCTGGGAGGGAAGAGAGGCCAAGAATCCTAGTTGCCATGGCGTCAGTCAGTGTGTCCTCACTCACAGTGACCCCATGTTCCCTCAGTGTCTGATCAGAACTGTGCTCCTCCAGGTTTTCAACCTTGTTTTTCAGAAGTGGAATGCTGGGGCTTTCTTCAAAGACACTCTATGTGGATTCAAACTACCCAATTTCCAATTATCAGCTGAAATAATTGCTCTTGTACCACCCAAGGTCTCCAGCCTTTCTGGATTCAGCTGTTAAACATTGGTGGGGAGTGTTTTTAGTTTTTATTAACCTGTATAATTAGTGGGTTTTCGTATGCTTTAGTGTAACCATCACCACTCTTTAATTAGAATATTTTCATCACCACAAAAAAGCAAACTTCATCCCAATTATCAGTTGCTTCTCATTCTCCCAAACCCCTCCCCTTCATGACCATCTAACTAGCATTTTTCTCTGGCTGTGATGTGAATGGAATCACAGAAGGGGCACTTTTGCAACTGGCTTTGTTGACTAACACAGTGCTTTTGAGGTTCCCTCACGTGACAGAGCCCTGTTAGTGGGGTGATAATGCAGAGACTGCTAACCAGAAAGTCTATGGTCCAAACTCAGCAATGTGAGGTGGGGCAGAGAGGTGTGACAGCCTGCTCCTTTAAACACTTCCTGTAAAGCAACTCTCCTCCATCCTGCAGGACAAAATGTCAGCAAGTCAGAATCAATAACACTGACAGCAAGGGTTTGCAGTATTCATGTTGCAACATGTATCAGTAACCCATTCCTTTTCTTTAAAATCTATCATTCATTGATGGATTCATTTATTCACTCATGATGAATTATTCATTCATCAGTTGATGACATTTAGGCTGTTTTCTCTTTGGGGATATTATGGATAATGAATGCCACTAGGAATACATGTGTGCAACTTTTTATAGGAAACTAAATCAATCCACCTCTCCTCTGTCACTTTGCCATAGTGTGGTGGCTTATGTGTTGCTGTGAGGCTGGAAACTATACCACCAGCACTTCAAATATCAGCAGAGTCACCCATGGTGGACAGGTTTCAGCAGAGCTTCCAGATTAAAACAGACCAAGAAATTGCCAATTATTTCCTTTTACTTGGATCCAAAATCAACACTCATGGCAACATCAGACAAGAAATCAGAAGATGTTACATCGGGAAAATCTCTCAAGGGCCTCTCTCCAGAGAGCAATGATGTCAGCTTAAAGACTAAGGTACATGATACAGATCATGGTATTTTCAGTTGCTTCCTATGCAGGGAAAAATTGGACAATAAGGAAGACTTGATGCCTTTGACTTGTGGTGTTGGTAAAGAGTACTGAATATATCATGACCTGGAGTGAGCTCTTTAAAGGCAAGGATATAAAGCTTCATCTCATATACTCTAGGAATGTTGTCAGGGAGGCCAGGCCGTGGAAAACTACATCATGCTGGGAAAGGTAGATTAACAAAAGAGGGGAAGACTCTCAACAAGAAGGAATGACACAGTTACAACCACAAGGGGCTTGGATATGAAGGAGATTGTGAAGATGGTGCAGGATAGGCCAAGGTTCTGGTCTGATCTTCATTGGATTTATATGAATCATAGTCTACTTGGGGACACCTAACAGCAATTTTTTTTTTTCATTTTGGGGGTAAATAGCCAGGAGTAGAGTTGTTGGATTCTATGTCAACAGTACGTTTAACATTTTTTACAAATCTCAAACCACTTTCAAAAGCAGTCATACCATACTATATTCCCACCAGTAATGTATGACAGCTCCTATTTCTCTGCATGTTGGTAGAAACCAGCACAGCCAACTGCCAATCGTCTTTCCAACCTTTGCCTTCCCCTAGCAGATTTTCAGAGACAGTAAATGGCGCCAGAGGTCCATCCTTCTCCTGCAGAGCAGCTCAAAGATATAAAACCTTGTGTCTTTTGCTTGCAGTGCAGTTTCTTCCCACTAACTAGGTCATGAGAGCCCCTGCAAAAGTTGTTGTTGTTGTATATCACTGAGTCAGAACTGACCCACAGCTAACCCTCTGGAGGGTTTGCAGAGGCAGTTATTCACATGCCATGAGATTGCCCATCCTACTCCAGCTGAGCACCTGGACTCGAACCATTTGCCTTGGGGATTGCAGTGCAGGTTTTTGTCACTAAGCTACCAGAGCTCCCTAGAAAAGTTAGTCCTCAGTTGTCTTTGTTCTAGCCCTGCCAGTGGTTGTGAAGTAGAATCTTGTTATGGTTTCAATTTGCATTTCCCTACACATCTTTTAATGCTATTGATGGATATTTGTATATATGCTTTGGGGAGATGTCTATTCAAATTGTTCATTCAATTTTTAAATTGAATTATTTGTCTTTTATTGTTAAGATAAAACAATTCTTTATATATTCTGGATATAAGGCCCTTAGCCGATAGATGATTTGCAAATAGTTTCTTCCATTTCACGGGTTGCCTTTTCACTTTCTTTTCAATGTCTCCTGATGCATGAAAATTAATTTTATGAAATCAAATTGATCTGTTTTCCCCTTGGTTTCTTGTGCTTTTGCTGACATATTTAAGAAACACAGGTTAATCTACTATCACAAAGGTTTATTCCTAGGGAGCTCTTGTAACGTAGAGGCAAGAAGCTGCGCTGCAATCCTGAAGGGATGCGGTTTGAATCCATCAGATGTTCTGCTGGAGAAGGAGGGGCAATCTCCTCCTATGACAGTCAGATCTGATTTGATGGTACACAACAAGGAAAGAAAAAAAAAGTTTATCCCTATATTTTTTTCCTAAGGGTTTTTTAATATTTGCTCTTGCATTTAGGTTTTAATGCATTTTGTGTTAAATTTTGGATATGATGTGAGGTAGGGTTCAACTTCATTTTTTTGCATGTAAATATCCAACTGACTCAGTATCATTTGCTGAAGACTATTCTTTTCTCCAAGTGTCTTGGCACTTTTGTTGAAAATCAAATGATATTTTAAAATTCCCAATCCTATTCCATTAATCTATTATGTCAATCCCTATGTCACTACTATAAAAAATTATTGCAGTTGTATTGCAAGTTTTGAAATCAGAAAGTATTATTCCTCCAATTTTGTTGTCTTTCAAAACTGTTTTGGATATTCTAATTCCCTTGCATTTGCATATAGATTTTAGAAGCAGATTTTCAATTTCTGAAAAGAAACTTGATGAGATTACAATAGTAACAGTGTTGAATCTGTAGGTTAATTTGAGTCTTGTCATTGTAACAATATGAAATCTCTAGTCTAAGAACACAGATACATTTCCATTTACTTAAGTCTCCTGCCATTTCTTTGAATGATGTTTTGTAGTATTCAATGTACAAGTCTTACACTTCTCTTGCTAAATTTATTTCTAAGTACTTTATTCTCTTTAATTCTACTTAAAAACATAATTATTTTTTTAATCTCATTTTAAAATGTTCATCATACTATTATGTGGAAATACAATAGATTTTTTTATACTAGCCTTGTATCCTGCAACCTTTCTAAACTCACTTATAAGTTTATTAGCTTTAGTAGGGTGTTTATGCAATCTTTAGGCTTTTTCCATCTATAAAATCATGTTATCTAAAAACAGAGCTTTATTCTTACTTCTCAAACTTGATTGCTTTAATTTCTTTATTTCTGGCCTGTTATTTCTTAAGCATCACTTTGTAAGTATGTTGAACTCTATTATAACTGGCACCTCTTGTCAGATGATCTCATAAACTAATTCCCTGCTCCCAGAGCTCTCCTCTCTCAGGAGAATGCCAGAGCATTCTGAGGTCAACATGATAATAGTATGATCCTTCTCAGTCCCCCTCCTGACCCCAAACTCCAGACACTGAGCTTTCTGAACCAGCTGCACATCAATCACATTGTTTACTAACTTTTGAAAGATCCCAAGATAAAGGATTTGAAGGGTGCAGCTGTGAAAGTACAAATCCAGACAAAACCAACCCACCCATCAGCTCAGGTCAACAGTGAGGTCAGGGTAATGAACATACTTGTGAAGCCCAGGAAATTGTCAGAAACCACTTCTCCACCCCACGGCAGAACTCACACCTCAGTGAAGTTACCCCAGGACACAGAGGGATAGAAACTGTTGAAAGAAACATGTACATCTGTGGCCACCATGGGTTGACTGTCCATGTTAACAAAGTGAACTTCCGAGGGCAGTCCTGACCCAGGCAGCATCACACCGTGGCAGGCTGGGCAGAGCTCTTCTGGCTGGAGCTGCGGCGGCTCAGGACAAAAGTGGACGAGTTGCTCTTTTTGCTGGTGCTCATCTCTCTGGACCGGCTGCCCTGCACGTACCTAGAGGAACAGCAGAGGAAGCGCTGCACAAGTTCATGGAAGAGGTGGCCCGTGAAGAGCATATAGATCCAGGGGTTGCAGCAGCTGTTGAGGCTGGCCAGGAGCATGGCGATAATGAAGGCCGAGGCTGGAAGGCAGGGAGGTAGGGGGAAAACAGAAAAAGGTATCATTATTGAAGTGTTCCTGAGGTAGCAACACTTGCACATCGCTTTGACTTACTCAATGCTTCCTAAGCAATAGTCTATCCAAGCTACCAAATTCTAGGTCACAGAGAAATTAAAAGTGACAAAGTTTGTCTTCCTTCCATATCCTTACTATGGGAATGATATCCATCTGCGCCTTAAACTATTCTAGGAGCCGCCAACCGATGAACTTCCCTACCCTTCCTCCCATCAAAGGCTTGCCTACTCCATAAACCTCCTTTCCTATGAAGCTGTACGGGGTTGGCGCCCAGCTACCATTACTGAGCATTTTGATAAAAGATTCTATAGAAGAGTGATCAAATGTGAGAGGATGCAAAATAGAATTTCAGAGTCTCATAGAATCTATACTTCCTGGAGATGTAAAGGATGGGTGAACCCCAAAACTATTGCCTGCAATAATCTTTAAACTTTACCAAAAATATTCCTGAAGTCTCCTTAAGGTGAAACAACAGTTTAGTTCAATTAGTGAAAAAATGTCTCTTTTGAGTATCAGAGCCTTTGAAAGAACTATCTATACAGGACTAAGTTGAGAAGAACAGCTCAAAGGATTAAACAGAAACCTCAGGAGACAAGTTTATGTTAATAGAGAGGAAATAACTCAGAAAATGAGGGTAGAAATGGCTGCACAGCCACAAGGACATAATTTCTGTATATGCAGAAACTTGAATCGGTGCATGTTTTCTCAATAAGAAAAAGAAAATAATCTTTTTTTGAAAAAAGCTTACAAGAAGTACTAAGCTTAAAAAAGCTCCTTGTGTTCTTGCACAAGAGAGTAGTACATGAAGTTCCAGATTACAAGTGAATTCCATTCCTGAGTTTAAATAACATGTCCATGTAAATCACAACAGTTAGATATGCTTTGTATTTAACAAATATGAACAGTAAGTCAAATATTTCTCTGAGTACATAGTATACAAGGTATTTTTTTTGCATGAACACATAATTTAGTAATAATGTTTGATACAAAAGGCAAAGTAGCGCCCATTTGTTATTAAGAACAATTATCTGTACTTTCAATTTTTTATATAATAAGATTTACATATTATACATAATTCAGATGTTTGTGATGGGAAAGATTGTATTTATCTTCACACTTGAGAAAATCTTCACATTTGTGAGGATATCCCTTATAACATTGCTTCAATATGACCACAGAGTTTTGTGAGGGGAAAAGAACACTAATATTAAGTGAAGCTTGTGTTGAAGCTATTAGATTGAGAATTAACTACACTTCAGACAAAACTAGTGACCTAAACCATTAAACCAAGACCAATTAATTAATTTAAAATTAACATTAATATAAATTAAGAAATCTACTTCAAGATGTAACACATCACAAATTTAAGATTCAAGAAGAAAGGAAAGAAAAGAAAATCCTAGCACTGAGTACTTGCCAGCAGAGGGGAAATCTTAGTTACTGTCAATGGCCTGAGATCCAATAAACCACAGACAGCTGACAGCAGGACCCGCCAGAAAAATGCCAAACCCAAAAACCCTCCTTAGGAGTGAAGGCAACCTCAAGAAGGCTACAAAGTCCACTAGGTTCAGGTTTTTCATGAAAAACTTTGCAGAAAACAAATTAAGAATTCAAGGCCTAGTTCCAGGGAAAGGCTCTTACTGGGGAAGCTGGAGTTACAAGATCTAAACTCAAATCTGAGAGGCAGAGAGTTAAATAAGTCTCCAACCACATCAAAACAGAGGGCTGATAAACCTAAGTGACTTATTCTCCAAAGGGCAGGGTCCCTAGGTACTTATTAGAATACAAATTCTCATACTTGACCTCAGAACTATGAAATCAGACATTCTGGGGGTGAAATCTAACAATCTGTTTCAACAAGCCCTCCATATGAGTCTGACACATCCTCAGATTTGAGAACTACTTACTGAACAGGTCCACCTGCTGGAGCAAAAGCTAGCTACAAAAGACAATTAACAAAAGTCTTGAAAGGAGAACTTTTCAACTATGAATAAATTTTTACGTGAACTAGGGAGAGTATGGGGGAAATGTGCAATAATGAATGAATTAAAATCCAATTTTTCTGTAGGCTTTCATTAAAATCACAATAAGAAAGAAGAAGAGCAAGTAAAGAAATATGATTCTTCAAAACAACTATGAGATAGCATCTCACCCCAGTAAGAACAGCAAAATTTAACAGAACAGCAAACAACAAATGCTGCGAGGTTGTGGAGAAACTGGAACCCGAATTCACTGTTGGTGGGAGTGTAAAATGGTGCAACCACCCTGGAAGGCAGTATGGCGCTTTCTCAAAGAGTTGCAAATACAGATACCATTTGACCCAGCAATTCCACTACTGGGAATATACCCCAAAGAGACTGTAACTGCCACTCAAGCAGATATATACACACCCATGTTTATTGTGGCTTTGTTCACAATAGCAATGAGCTGGAAACATCACAAGTACCCATCAACAAACGAATGGATAGGGAAGCTCTGGTATATTCACAAAATGGAATACTATCCTGCGTTGAAAAACAAGGAACTCATGAAATATTCTACAAAATGGGTGACCCTGGAAGACATTATGATGAGTGAAGTATCTCAGTTACAAAAGGACAAATAGTGCATGGTGCCACTGTTGTAAAACAGGACTAACCTCGGCATTGGGGGGAGACTGAGAAAGATGGGTTCAATAATGTATACTGCATTGAAACAGATGAGGGAGAGAACTGTTTAGAAGGCATATATGTTTAGGTATTATTATTACGACAGGAGTCCAAAATGAAGGCTGCACAGTAGAGTGGACTTGGGGGGAGGAATTATATAACAATGAAAGAATTTTTCTTTTACTTTTCAAAGAGAAGAGTGAATTGGGGGGGAGGGGTGGGCAGGGAGAAAAGTGCAACAATGAATGAATAGAAACCCTAAGTCTCTGTAAACTTTCATTAAAATTAGTAAAAAAATAAAATATTCTTAAACAAAAATAGTAATAAATAATTTTTAATAGAAGAAAATTCAGCAGTATAAAATTCTTTATTTGCTACAAAAGGGAAAGAAAAATAATATTTGCAAAATTAACATGAAAACAGGAAGGAGAAAAAGGAATGGAGAAGAAAACAGTCAACCCCATAGAAGGTAGGAAAATGGATAGAAGGAAACAGAATAAAATTTATGTTTTGTGGTTCCTCAAGAAGTCAAACAGCATTATTGTTGTTAGATGCCTTCGAGTTGACTTCAATTCACAACGACCCTATGAGCAACAGATCAAAGCCTTGGCCTTTCTGGAGCCAGCCTCATGATCTCTGCCATCTTGTTGAGGACTGCCTTCTCTTTTGCTGACCATTAAAAACAAAACAAAACTTCCACTTCCTTTAAGTTGATTTTGACTCACAGTAAATTACCAAGCCTTCAGAAGTTTCTAAATCTTTAAGAGAGGAGGCTGGCTGACACACTATTGCCCTTTCAATTAGCAGCGCAGAACTTACACACTACACTACCACGGCTCTTCAGAAATCCAGAATGACCTAGCAATTCCACTCCTGGGAATACACTTCAAAGACCTGAAAGCAAGAATTCATACAGATATATGTATACCAGTAATTCACTATAGAATTATTCACAATAGCCAAAAGGTAGAAACAACTGGCTGTTCATCAATAGATGAATGAATAAACATATTTTTTTAAATTCTTAAAACAGCAGAAATTTAATTGAAAGCAACAGAAATGTATTCTCCCACACTTCTGGACAAAGCTGTGTGGCAAGGCCATGCTCTTTCCTAAGGCTATAAAGGGAAGATCTGTCAGATCTCTGGAAGACCAGAGGAAACTTCTGGTCATTACCGGCATTTCTCACCTTGTAAAGCATCACTCCTGTCTCTCCTCTGTAACACACGGTATCTTCCCTTCTGTGTATCCTTTTTTTAAAAAAATTTTTACTATTAATTTCTGTGAAACTTTACAGAGACTTTAGATTTCCATTCATTCACTGTTGCACTTTTCTCCCCTCCCAACCCTCCCTCCAGTACACTACCCTCTTGGAAAAGTAAAAGAAAAATTCTACCATTGTTTTACAAACCCTCCCCCAGGTCCACTCCACTATGCAGTCTTCACTCTAGACTCCTGTCATGACAAAAATACCTAATCACATATCCCTTATAAACAGTTTTCTGCCTCATCTGTTTCAATGCAACATACATTATTGAACCCATCTTTCTCAGTCTCCCCCCAACGCTGAGGTCAGTCCTGTTTTACAGGCACTATACAGTATTTGTCCTTTTGTGACTGAGATACTTCACTCAGCATAATGTCCTCCAGGCTCACCCATTTTGAATAATATTGCATGAGTTCCTTGTTTTTCAATGCAGCGTAGTATTCCATTGTGTGAATATACCACAGCTTCTCTATCCATTCATTTCTTGATGGAAACTTAGGTTGTTTCCAACTCTTTGCTATTGTGAACAAAGCCACTATAAACATGGGTATGCAATATCTGCTTGGGTGTCAGTTACGGTCTCTTTAGGGTATATTCCCAGTAGTGGAATTGCTGGGTCAAATGGTATCTCTATTTGCAACTTTTTGAGAAAGTGTCATCCCGCCTTCCACGGTGGTTGCACCATTTTACACTCCAACCAACAGAGTGAATAAGTGTTCCAGTTTCTCCACATTCGCCAGCATTTGTTGTTTGCTGTTCTGTTAAATTTTGCTGTTATTATTAGGGTGAGATGATATTTCATAATTGTTTTGATTGGGTAAACATATTTTATATGAACATGCAATGGAACATTGTTCAGCCATAAGACAAAATGAAGTTCTAATACACGCTTACAGCACAGATGAACCCTGAAGACACACTGAGTGAAATAAGTCAGACACAAAGACAAATATTGCATGATTCCTTCTTACATGGCATAGCTAGAACAGGCAAATGTATGGAGACAAATGGATATCAATAGACATTATTCAA